CACTGGAAAGCTCTATTTCATAGGGGTAACCTGTGAGGGTGCTGCAAACTGCAGAGGAGGTGTGCAATGCGTGAGGGAACTCTACCTTGTCAGAGAATTCTGTGAGGAGCGATCCTTATCTCATTTTGCCCAGTCTAGGAGCCCCAAATCTCAACTCAATGTTTAGAAAGTATTGAAGGCCGACCCATGGCTCACTCGGGAGAGTGCGGTGCTGATAACACCAAGGCCACGGGTTCGGATCCCATATAGGGATGGCCGGTTCGCTCACTGGCTGAACGTGGTGCTGACAACACCAAGCCAAGGGTTGAGATCTCCTTACCGGTCATCTTTTTTTTTTTTTTTTTTTTAAAAAAAAAGAAAGTATTGACATACTTAAGTGTCTGTATAAATTGGTGGGACGTGGCGAAGATATCAGCAGAATGTGTCCCGAAGACTGAGCTCCTCACAACTCCAGAGCATTTTGCTACTATGAAAGACCTATCAAGAGTTCCTGTTCTTCCTCACTCTGAGTATGTGAAGAGGAGCTGGCCCCAGACTGGGTCCTTCTGTGTGTGACTCAGCAAGTCTTTTGCCCCACAGATTAGTTTGTACTGGGTTGGATGCTTTGATCTTCAGCACCAACATTACTGAATATTAGATTTGGTTTTGCATATTTTCATCTGGGATACACAGGCCTGCCTGGACCACCACCGCATATGTGTAGATTTTGAAGTGTGAGTAGAATACAATATTAAGTGAAGGCTTTATCCTGCTGCTTGATCTGAGCTACTGGAAAAGCATCAGATACAGGTTCTTCTCATGGGGATTCATGAATAGCAGTCAGAGAAGTGGCAAGTATTTAAATATTCTTATGGAGTATGACCAATAAATTGGTCTATATTGAGTGGCTGATAAACATTAGAACTCAAAACTAAGTGTGCACATTGAATATACTGAATTCTAGCAAAATACAAAGTAAGATAAAGTAATATTTGAAAACAATTACCAAACTATTGAAATAATGCTGACAGAATTGTGAAGGAAATGGTACATTTAGGTTACATTGATTTAGTTCCTTTAGGAGCAACGTGTTATCAAGAGCTACAAAAATCTTCATTTACTTTGACCAAGAAATCTCACTCTCGTGAAGTTCATTCACTAAAGTGAAAAGAAGCCCCATGTATGAATGTATTCAATTTAATGCTGTTCTTGGTAATATGAAGCTGCATGTGAACATCAATTTCTAATAGAGGAAGATAGTTAAACAAAAGATGGGTCTGGGCCGGCCCGGTGGCGCACTGCTACAGTGCGCCGCTTGGGAGTGCGGCGGCGCTCCTGCCGAGGGTTCGGATCCCACATACAGACCGGCCGCTCACTGGCTGAGCGAGGTGCGGGAGCAACACCGAGGGTTGCGATCCCGTTGCTGGTCCCGGTCCTGGGCGGGCGCGACACTGAGGGTTGCGATCTGTTGCCAGTCACGAAAAAAGACAAAAAGGAAAAAAAAAAAAAAAAAAGATGGGTCACTAATTGAACAGAACATTGGGTAACTATTATAATAACATTATATAAACATTGTAAATAGGAGGTGTGCACACATTTGTGTGTATTCTGCTGCTTAGTAATGGAAATGATTACAAAAGTACGTATTCACCATGGTTTTTACCATGTACATATATATATATTCATTTATTCATTCTAGAATTTTTTGAGTATTGAGTATATACTAGGTGTTGCTGGTAGGTGCAGGAAACACACAGAGGAAAAGTTATGGATCCTGCTCTCATTGAGGGTCAGCCCAGTTGGAAGATAGTCATGCAAAAAAATGGAAAAGTGTAGTAATTCACAAAACCTTATTGGAGGACAGGAGGAGCCTTGAAGTTGGCAGAAGATACAAGGGATGTCATCATAAAAGAGCTAAGATATCTGTATGGACAGAATTTGAAAGGTAATGTGGAGAAATCAGTTGTACGAGGGTACTTCAAAAATTTCAGAAAAAAGTAGAATTAAAAGATAATACAGATACTTCCCTGAACTTTTTGAAGACCCCTCATATAAAGGTGGAGGTTTTAGAAGTGACTTAAAACTTGTTTAACCTCTTTATTGAGATAAAAGTCACATACCATAAAATTTAACTATTTAAAGTGTACAATTCTACAATTTTTAGCACACTCACGGGGCTGTGCAGCCAACACCACAATCTAAGTGCAGAACATTTTCATCATCCCCAGGAGCGTAGTATTTTGGCTTTTTCAAATTTCTTCCAATGTTAAATGTTTTTTGTAAGAATCAAGGTGTAAAGACAGAAACCTTTAATGTCTGGCCATTATGGGAAAGCTTTATGTTGCATGTGAAATAAACCATAAGTAAGCCATTGTGTCTTTGATTTTCCATTTTATTAGTGACAAGGTAAATAAGTGCATGAAAATCTTCACACATATGTACACATGTATTTAAATAAAATAAGAGTTGAGTTCTGAGTGGGGTTTCAGTGGTGACTAGTACATGTTATTTATTTACTGTATAAAAATCTCCAAGTTTATTAAACTTAGTTTGCCCATTTTCCCATGTCTTAAAAACCAGCTGCAAGAACTTGAAGAGGGATTTCTTTGAAGAGAAATACAGAGACACTCTAAAGAGGAGCAGGCACACTGTGAATTATGAAAGCGATCGGCGATGCTTTAACGAGAAGCAGATCCACTTGGTGTGTTTTCCGTGTAGAGTGGATGCCGAGTCACTGGAGGTTCGCCCAACTTCGGTTTTCTCCCTTCCTCCATTTGCTTCCACATTCTAAAGGGCAGAGGGCCACCGTGCGTGCGTGCGTGTGTGTGTGTGTGTGTGAGAGAGAGAGAGAGACAACTCTCCGCAATGCCTACAGGTAGCAGTGCCCATGGGCAGGTGCCTGCCCCCTCTAGGTGCAGACCACTCTTGGCTGAAGAGTGGGGAGGCGCAGTTTGCCTTTGAAGCCCCTGTGCCTTACTTCATTCTGGGTCCCAGTCTTCTTCCTGTCACCTTTAGTGTCCTCCAGATGTCCATATAAATGACCTCTACAGGGCTGTATATTTAGCCCTGTGAGTTCCAAGTTCCTTTACAAATGTTAGCTTAGAGGAAAGAGGTGCAGGAATCTTTTATGACCTCAAATCCTGAAAACCTAGTCTCCACTGGTCACAAGTCAGGTGCAAGTGTTAGGGCATATCTGGGGGCAGAGAGAGCTGTCTGGCATTCCTCAAAGCCCATCATATAGATGGCCACCTACTTGTAAAACTGGTTCTACCTAGTGGACTAACACCCAAGACCCCCAGAGGCTGGCATGGGACCCTCAGATTCTTTGAGGCAAGTGCAGCACTCATCCGCCGTCAGCCACACAAACTGGGAGCCGGACTTCAGCTCCTGACAGACATGGAATCACCCCCACAGAGGGATTTAACTCACAGGCAGGAAGAATGCAAACGGCGACACTGTGTTCTTCCTGCTTGTGCCTTTCATTTGGTTTCTCGTGAAGTCCTGCAGCTGTGGCCAAATGGCTTCTCTCCAGGTTATGGCATGACATAAAATTTAGTGTCTGTGCATTTGGCTCATCTTTCAAAGAAAGTGTGATTGTTGAAATTGGGACACAAATTTTTCCAACTGCTTTGTAAACTTAAGGATTTTGGTCAGCTCGTTCTATCATACTTAATATTCACGATATTAATTTAAAAAATAACTAATGCCAGTGTAAACATGCTTCAGATACATAGGTCTATAAAATATTGCACGTAAAAATTTGTTCAGCATTTCTTCATAGTAATTCTTCATTATTATAAAAAAGATACAAAATAGTGTGGGCTATCTATGAATTTGGCTGGTCAATTCTACTTCAAAAATATTAACATACGATTATGGGTTATTTACAAGAGTTTTAAACATTACATTTTTTTGATGGTTAAATTCAAGATGATGAGAAAATAGCTTAAAAGATTATTCTCCAAAATTATGTACTATAAAGATTAGCAGTAAAAATGAGTAACAAAGTCAGGATATGCAGTTCCAAATATAATCCTTAGGAATCGGTTTTCAAGGTTTGTCTCATACCTGTATAACTTTATATTTCCATGCTATTTATGTTCAATATGTTTTCTCTGTGTACACAAGTATGAGGTATATCAGGGAAAATAGGCATTTGATCCCAAGCTAAATATTGGTGTTTTTTCTTATAGATATTAAAAATGTTTACTCATACTGTGAAATTGCTTTTTTATTAATGGACTGTAGAAATTTTACCATTACTTTTCACACCACATAGGGTGGAGAGTACCTTGAAATTCATGGATTAGCTAAGTCAATGGAAAGACTTTTAAAAATATATTTGAGGAAATATAAATGCAACATTTTGCAAAGCTAAATTAAGCAGATGAGAGTTCCTAGATAATGTGAATAAAATAAATTTCAGGTAGAAGGCAGCAAAGTATTAACTGAAACTGACTCCTAATACCAATTTGCTTCTCCCTGACACTGTCTAAATTCTGAAGAAGTTCTGTTAAATGAGTTATCTGCACAAGGTGGTTATCTTAGGAGGAAATTGAGTGATTTTTGAAAACCAGCAAACCAAATCTTAATTTCCAAATCCTCTAGACCACTAGATTCTCAACTTAGAGAAATGGAAAATAAATAAATATTTTTTATCCTCACGTATACGTTTATCTTTGTCGTTTCAAAAGTACTTTCACAGTACCAACAACATATATTGCTTGTCTCCCTGAGCCATAATGTCATTAGAAATGTTTCTCTTCCATAGGGAGGTGTCAAATATTCCATTGAATACAGTAGTGTTGGACAGTTTGGTCTTAGTTCACCTTTTAAATTCTATAGTAATTCAGACTTTTCATCTCTGCAACTTCAGTTGGATTTACCTGGACAGCAACCTAAGTTCCCATACCCATTTCAAAGTGTCTGCCAAATACAGAATGAATAAAGCAAAAAAAAAAAAA